CTTTCTCCTCCTCCGAAGGCGTGTCGTCTTTGGTTTCCAAAATCTATGTCTCCGCAGAAATCCTCGGCGATTCTCTCGCACTGGTTTGCGCAGCTTCCTCTGCTGCGGCCTCCACTCCATGTCCCGCCAATACTTTCAAAGGGGTGGAAGAATCTGCACCAGGTAGGCATGCTACACCTGCCCGAACTGCTATCGCCAAAGGCGTCTTTCGCCGAAGGCACACGTGTCTTCCCATCCCTGCCTTCGCTCGCTGCAACTCGCTCCAAGGGTTTTTGCGCCGAAGTCCCTTGAGCCAAAGGTTCATCCCTGAACCGCTCCTGCGCCGAAGGCGCTTGAGCCGAAGGCGAGTCATCAAATGGTACTTGCTCGGAAGGCAAGCACCTCTCCATCGTAGGCATTCTGCCCGTTGCCGCATGCCTTCCTCTGTGGCCCAAAGGCCTACGCGCTTCCTCCGAAAGCACTCGTGCCTTCGGTGCGGAGAGGTCAGTCCACCTCCCAAGAACCTCTGCACTCATATCCTCCCCCGAGGATGGTGAGTTTCTCGTAACTGCAGCTCGCCCTGTGTCCGCGTTGCTGTCCGCCTGCAGAACTAGCTTGCGCGCCTTCTGCTTCGGTCGGGCTGGCTCGTTGTTGGCTCGACGCCTGACTAGAGTAGTGGGCACTTCCCGCTGACTCAGGTCCGCATCTCCATCCCATTTCCGCTTCTGGGGTGCCCGTGCCCATCTCGGTTCTTCCTCCGTTCTCAGTCAAGCTTGTGATGTGCTAGCGGGCACTTCGTCAAGGTCTGTGTCAACCTCGACATCCCTCACATACCTTCCCGGATTCGCCCGCGACAGCAATGGAAATTGTATCCGCTCCGTTGCTTTCAGACACCCCATCAACCGATAAAAGTTGATCAAGAAAGGGGAAAGGTGATTGATCGACCCTCCCTTCTCCTCTTGCGCTTGCTGTCGCGTGGCCTTCCACAAAATGCGAGCCCAGTGAATCGGAGTACCTGCCAACGCCAACGCCAACTCCACAAATTCCACCTGCCAAGATGTCATGTAGGTGGTCCTGTGCGGTTGTAAAATTTGGAGGAGTGCCACCGCGACATTCCTCCGCTTGCGGTCTTTGTAGTCAAGGGTCTTGTACCCGTTCTTGCTCGATTTGCAGTTCTTGAAGAGTGCGCCGAAGGAAATTTCTTCTTCCTTCGTAACATGCACACTCTCGCACTCGAACAAGAGGTCGCCTTCTTCTCCCGCGCATCGCCCCAAGACTTGCTCCCAATCACTCACTTGCCATCTCTCCGGGTGCGGTCGATAACCTCGCGGAGGCTGGTTCTTCTCACTCAGCCACTCCCGAATCATCGCCGGGCACATCCAATTCCATCCCCACAGAAGAAAGTCGAGCTTCACTGCCATCAGCTCATCTTGAAAGGCCCGCAATCCGACCTGCGGCACGCGCAGTGGTATCATCCGCAGTGGAATCAACTTGGCCATTGAACTCTCTGTGACTCTCCGCAAACTTGTCTACAAAACTCTCCTGCTGCGCACTCTCGACAAACTCTCTGCAACCTCTCCGCGAATTCTCCTGCTGCGCGTCGTGAGTGAATGCAAAATTGGAAATGCGTCAGTTAGTCTCTTCCTTCGGCGATCAAGAACTCTCATCGTTCGACACTTGGGCTGGCAGCGACCCGCTTGAATGCTATGCCAGTGCGAAGGCGTAACAGTCTGATTCACACACGCGAATTCACGCTCCGCCGTTGTGCGGACTCTCACACTTGTACATTCAATCTTGATCCCGCCGATCACCGCCAACGCAGCTCTCCGTCCGCGTACCGCCGAAGGCACAAGCTTCCGCCGTTTTCTTTGTCTTTTCTTCTTCTGCCGAAGGCGCATCCTGGAGGCGTAGGCATTGCTTTCCGCCGAAGGCGAAACGTAACGACGAAGGCGCTAGTGCCGAAGGCACTTGGGCCGAAGGAATCTACCGCCGAAGGCGCAGTCTAGTGACGAGGTCGTTTTCCACTGACGAAGGCGTTCCGTGTCACATGCTTTGTAAGTCTTTAGCGAAAGCTCCTCCGCTAAGGAGCCTGAGCCGAAGGCACTTCATCCGAAGGCGCCTCAGCAAAGGAGCTTTTGCCAAAGGCGAATCCTTTATCATGAACCGTCCGTTCCGTCCAAGGCGCCCGACCGTGGCCTAAGCCCCAAAACTCCTAGATTCTCCTAGATTCTACTAGATCCGAGATTCTTCTTTTTACTCTATTTTTGCGTACCGATTACTATTTACAGGTGCTACCGCGGTACTTACCTTTCAAAAATGTTTTAATTCCGACAAAAACAAAAACAGGGTTACCACAGCATTCTGTCTCATACATTTCCAAACACTTTAAGATGGTTGAAAATAATTATTTTCCGGGATTACTTTTGCCTGTTTGCAATTATTCTCATACATTTCCAAAGACCTTTAAGATGATTGGGAATAAGATCTGTAACCTAAGTTGTCGAGTATAGTTGTACTTTTTTTGTTCTTTGTTTCATACATGTCAAACAAACTTAAGATGGTTGGAGATAATTATTTGTTGGGTTTACTTTTGCCTGTTTTCAGTTCTTCTCATGCATTTCCAAAGACCTTTAATATGATTGGGTGTTAGATCTGTAACCATAGACGTCGAGTATAATTTTGGCTGTTTGCAGTTTGTCTCATACATTTTTAAAACACTTTAAGATGGCTGGAAATAATATCTTTGGACATAGCTGATGGATTTACTTATGCTTGTTTGCAAGTATTATCTTACATCATCAAAGAATGTAAAGATTATTGGGTATAGGATCTGTAACCTTAGTTTAAGAGTATAGTTTTTCATGTTTTGCAATTTCTCTTAAACATTTCCAGACACTTTAAGATGGTTGGAAATAATTACTTGTTGGATTTACTTTTTTCTGTTCGCAGTTATTCTCATGTATTTCCAAATACTTTCAAGATGATTGGGAGTAAGATCTGTAACAATAGTTGTTGAGTATAATCTCGCCTGTTTGATGTTTGTCTCATACATTTCCAAAAAACTTTAAGATAGTTAGCAATAAGATTTGTAGCCATAGTTTTTGTGTATACTTCTATTTGCTATGCAGTTAGTCTCACACATATTCAAAAAAACTTCAAGATGATGGGGAGTGAGATCTATTATCATAATTGTTATCTCTATTTTTGCTTGTTTTGCAGTTACTTTCATGAACAGAAACTATTATCATAGTTGTCGAGTTTTCTTCTACTTGTTTGCAGTCAGTCTCATACATTCTTCAAAAACTTTGAGGTGGTTGGAAATAATATGACTAGCCATAGTTTTCAAATTTACTTCTACATGTTTTGTAATTAGTCTTATTTATTTCCAAAAAGCTCTGAGATAGTTGAGAGTAAGATCTGTAACTATATTTCACTTTACTTTTGCATATAGTACACTCAATCTCATACATTCTCGAGTCTATTTGCATATTTTGAAGTTAATCTTATACATTGTCAATACTATTTCTATCTTTTTTGTTGTTAGTCTCATACAATTTTCAAAAATTTATTTGTTTGGGAGTAACATTTCTAGCCATAGTTTTGTTTCATAGTTGTCTAGGCTAGTTCTACTTGTTTTGCAATTCTACTTGTAATAATCCACCTAAGGCTAAAACTGCAGTATAGCAGCAAAAGGTGGAACCCACAGGGACAAAGTCAACACCCGGAGTACTAAATGTGCTGAACTGAACTGAGCAGAGCGTGCTTTCTTTCCCCAGGTGACTAGTTGTTTTCACTGTCCGACTGGTAAAGTTAGTATTATAAGGTTCAACATCTTCTCTTCTTCCATTTAAGACCCTCTTTTCAATTTGTTGTACTATCTACAGAAAATTCCCGGTCTACTCCCGGGAGTGTATTTTGATTATTTCGATCTCTCTTCTTGCTAACGTTCACAGCTGTTTCCATGCAAAGCAGCGGTTTCACACTGAAAGTCTCAAAAATCATACACACTGTTGGACCAATCTATCCAACCAATAAGAACTCGGAGCAGGAAATAGGGAAGGCATACAGGTACACAGCTCTAAACCTCGACCTAGGCCGACCTTGAATCGTGAATCCTGGTATCCCTTTCCCCTTTCAACTCCATTACTCTTGGCATTTAAACCCACGCTTTAGACGCGGCTTCTTTGACAGCAAGAGGTAATAACATCGAGTGCACATCGGTAAGCACCGAGAGGAGATATTTTCCTAGTAGCAGAATTGCCTCTATGTGAATATCATTGATCTGCTGACTGAGCAGTACCTATCTGTCATTTTCACGTCATTTCAATGGCATTGTCAGAAGACTGGTCAATGAAGAATAAAGTTTCATGATACTTTGTACCGTCGTGTATCAGGTTCATTTCATTCACTTCGAAGAAAACACTTACCTTGGCTAGATGGAGGAAGGTAAAAGAATGTTTCCAAGATCACAAGAAACTTAAGAACTCTTGCTGGAGGTAGTCTTGCCACAGCATAGCGTTTATAACTCTTGCTTTCTGCATGACTGCTCAACATCAGCAGTTAGGGAGCGGACTCAAAAGACTTCGGTTTGACAGTCAGGTGTCCCTCGTCAGAGATCCAAATGTTTTTCTTGAAACATTGGAGATGAGATAAACCGCGCTTTTTGTCTACTGGATGATTGCTTTACCATCTGATGTTGATTCTGACAGTGCACATCGTGAATGAAGAAAGTAGATCTATATTGAGGAAAAAACACCAAAAGCCTAACGTCCAAATGTCTAGTCAATAAGTGTAAGATTCTCGTAAATATCGGCTATTTGCAATTGAAACTTTGATTAGTACTCTTTGCCAATGAGTAACATGATGATAGAACATACCTCTTCCAGCTGTACAGAAGCGTATATTAATATTAATATCATGATCATACATGCATATTACTGAATAACTATGATGTATAATGTAGGGACAAATGTAGAGTGAGTGACGAGGAAACACAAATTTCAATGAATCTGCTAACCTCATTCATAGCTGCACACGGCGAAGAAAAGTAGAAAAGCATAGACGTACATGTGTGAGGGCAAGTCCATGGAAAAGCTCCAGCGAAGTGAGACCGGGAGATAACAAGGGTGCATTTTTAGTGCCTATAGTCATGAGAAAATCTTGCAATCACGGCAGACTGCACTACCATAATCTGATACAGGACCATTCACACACAAACGAAGGCCAACAATGCGCTGGAAGCTGGACAAACAATGCCTTCGTATCCTGAGCTGAACTTCGCTCATGACATCTTCCTACTGTTGTAGAAATTGGTTAATAGGACTTGATGCAAAGCATGCTTCAGGAACGTAGGACCTGGAACTGGACCTCGAGACAATGTGATTGCGGAACAGCAACATCATAGCGTCGATGGTACCAAATCGTACCAAATTACATCGTAGCGTTTCTTAAACTGCTCCTCCTCTCGTTTCTGGCACGTCTCCTCGTCCCGCCTGCTGCGCACCTCGCTCGATGCGATGCAGGCACCCGCTCCCTTGCTCGTTGCTTCAGCGTTTAGCTGTGCCGCGCTGCGCTACCTATGCTGCTCGTCCTGCATACTCGAAATATTCTCACATCGTCTTCTAGTCAAGAAAATACTCGCAACTCTAATCTGAGAAGATTGAGAAGCTCAGCTGAGAAGCTCCAATAGCTGAGAAGATTACATGTCTTCCCTCAGTCATCCTCATTACGTAGCAGAAATCAGAAGACGAGCTGGTCAATTCGCAGGGCAGGACAAGCGCGGGTGGCTATGACGAGTAGTTTGGGCGGGCGGGGCGAGAGACAGCTGCTTCCAGTTTAGTTTAGTAACCACGAGACGGGTGGAGGCCGATCACAGGATCGACAGAGAAGCCGGACCTGACAGACGATCGCAGATGTCCACAAGAGACAGGAGTCCCACTGCTCCACGAAAGGAGGAACGACGTGAGAGAGAACGTGATATGAATGATGATAGATTAGGAAGGGAAGCCGACGTTGGTGACCGATACAGAGAGAACAACAGACCATCGGAGAACTATTACGATCGCAGTGACAGATCTAGAAGGTTTGAAATTGAATGGAAGTCTACGAGAGAGTATGACAAGGAGTACAGGTCTTCAATGTATCATGAGAATGGGGATTATAAACAGAGGGAGGATTTTGGTCGTGAAGAAAGGCATTCAAGGTCCTTCAATGACCATGACAGGTCAGGGAAGTCGCACAATGCCAGTGACAATCGATACAGGACGTATGAGAGGGACGATAGGCCACGAAAAGATTACGACGTGCATGATAGACAGAAGAGAAGACTCAATTGAACGGTTAGTAAGTTTGTGTCGAGGAAATAGTCAAGTCAATGGCACCCGAATTTTTGAGCTGGCCCGAAACATGGAAATACAAACAAACAAAACTACTGAAACCCAAAAGCTTACCTTGGAGAAGGAGACCTTGGAGTAGATGCTAAACGAGCAGCACGCTTGTTTAGCATCATTACCCGTTTATAGATTGGCGAAAGAGTTGCTCTCAACCCCACATGTGGTCTATCGCCTTACTGGAAGCTGAGAAGATTACATGTCTTCCCCCTTGCGGACATTTGTTTCCATAATTGCTAGTATGTCAAATCTAACCCTGTTGTTCAAAATTGTACTTGGTAAGCATCCGTTTGTAATTATTTCTTTTGAAACAAGCAATAAAAAAAATACACCACTAGCTTCAAAGCAATCAGAAAATCCGCATTCCATGTAAGAATCGCGGAGTTTGTGCTTCAAAAGGAAAGCAAAAGATATTTCCCAAACCGAAGTTTCTCGGCTTCAGTACTCAAGAGCACAGACTCTGCAATTTTAACATGGAAATCCGAATTTTCTTATTGTTTGGAACCTAATGCTATATCTTTGTTCTTGCTCGCTTTCCTGCTACTACTCGGGCTTGTCAAACTAGACCTGGGGTGACATTTTTTAGAATGATCCAATAACACTTACGAACTGATAATTATCAAGTACAATAGTTATTGAATAACAGGGTGAAATCCGACGTGCCCAGGATAAAGTAGACAAATGTACACGGCAGGTGAAACACACAGAATTTACACACAATCTAAGTTTTCCATTAGAGATCTAAATAACACTGCGCAACGAAAGGAGTAACGAAAGGAGTAACGACGTGAGAGAGAACGTGATATGGATGATGATCGATTTGGATGGGAAGCCGAAGTTGGTGACCTATACAGAGAGAACAACAGACCATCGGAGAACTATTACGATCGGAATGACAGATCTCTGAAGTCTGAAATAGATCAGGTCTACGAGAGACTATGACAGGGACTACAGGTCTTCAATGGATCATGAGAATGGGGATTATAAACAGAGAGAGGCTTCTGGTCTTGAAGAAAGGCATTCGAGGTCCTTCAGTGAGCATGACACGTCAGGGATGTCGCACAATGCCAGTGACAACCGATCCAGGAAGTATAAGAGGGACGATAGGCCACAAAAAGATTACGACGTGGATGATAGACAGAAGAGAAGACTCAATTGAGCTGTTGGTAAGTTTGTGTCGAGGAAATAGTCAAAAAAATGGCACCCGATTTTTTGAGCTGGCCCGAAACATGGAAATACAAACAAAAATACTGAAACCAAAAGCTTACCTTGGAGTAGATGCTAAACGAGCAGCAAATAAATATGACTCTGGCTCTGAAGTATGATCTGAACCGTTGATCTTTGAACCATTCGATCTTTGAAATGAAATCTTCAGGCAGTCGCAGCTCCTTCCTGCCTATACAAGGCCTTCCATGCGATCACTCCGGTAGCAGAAGCAATTGGTCTTCCGTGCCTTCTCGGTGGGACAGAACTCCCGGCTTGAGAATACCTTCATTCGACCTTCAGTCCACAAGAGCTTCCGGCAGCACGAGCAGTAGTGGTGAAAGCGGTATGTGTCTTGGCTTTGTGTTCAAGCAGAAGTTTCGATTTAAGCGTGTGAAAATGTGTAGCTTCAGCCAGGCGCGGATCCGCAAGAGGAAGGAGTGTGATGATGCTAAACGAGCATCACGCTTGTTTAGCATCATCACCCTTTTACAGATTGGCGAAAGACGTGCTCTCAGCCCCACGTATGGGCGATCGCCTAATTGGAAGCTGAGAAGATTACATGTCTTCCCTCAGTCATCAGTCAATAATCCTCATTCATTAAGAAAAGACAAAAGATAAGCGGGTCAATTCGCAGGGCAAGACAAGCGCGACGGCTATGACGAGTAGTTTGGGCGGGGCGAGAGACAGCTGCTATATGTACAGTATGGGCATAGACATGACAAACGACATTAAACACCTCATGCTTCGAGTTTAGTAGGGGGGAGGAAGGGAGGGAGGACCTGACCCAGGCATGCATGGGTACAGTATGATGATCTACAGTAACCCCAGAAATTTCCAGGCCCACATTTGCAGTACTCATTAATGATGTAATCTAAGGAGCGAGAGAGCCGACAGAAGGCCAAACTCGTCAAACTGGACTCGGCTTAGGCTTTCCCACACACAAATTGAAAGCCAAAGAGGCGTAATTGATCTCTCCCATGAGCTCGACACGGTCGCCAGCAAGCCATACGCGCACCATAATAAGGGCTCGTCGCTGAGTTAATGGTGACAGATTCGTCGAGTACATTCGTACTGTGGCGTCGCCACTAGTCACATGGAACACAGCCCAGAGAAAGAGCGTCTAGAGACGGCAGAGAGGCGAGCCGCGAGACACATGCTATGCTTCAATGGCCTTAGAATCATCTGAAAATGATCTAATTAATGATCAAATTACTGTTTATGGCTAGTTTGCCCGCACGCCTACAAAGGCATCTCAATAAAGTCACAAAGTCAGGTGGAATCGAAACCCAGAATATCGATGGCGACAACCCCTAAATTGGACCAAATTACCACCGTTCTGAACGCAGATCGAAGCATATCGATGGCAAGTGAGTGATGGAAGGAGCCCAGCCACTCCGGTCTTGCCAGCTCGCACGTCTGGCCATTGATTGTTCTGAGCATTGGGCGGCGTGTTCGGTAGGGAATTCGGGTACCGTCGGAGATTGGACAGATGGACTCTAACGAGCGTTTGGAGACGGCGAGGCCACATCTCAGATTCAGCTTCGGGTGTGGACCCTCGGGCAATCAGTTACTGCATGGTGCCGACGGACAAACTGTGCTGCTGCCTCGGAATCCTCCGATGAGACTAGATTGGACTAGTAGCCAGATTTTTATCGATGAGTTATAATCAGGCATGGTTCATATAGGCGACCGTATATGTCGGCGCCTAAACTAAAATGGGCAGGATTCGGAGCCTAACCTAATCAAGAAGTCATCATCCAATAAGAAACTGATACGGAGTACTCCCTGGAGTAGAGTTTTGGCTCGAAGAGAATATTTATACAACAGTTTTCGTCTATCAGAGCATCTCACTCTCCCGTTCAAGTTACTCCTCCTGTTCGACAGCCCCGGAGTTCCTATTCGAGTTACTCTTCGTCTACGTTGGATCCAGTCCAGTCCGGTCGAATTTGCGCCGAGCGAGAGTGAGCAACTGAGCGTCGGTACAGGGTCAGGTGTTTTGCGTCTCACAAATTCTTGACAGCTTTTCTTGAGGTTCTGGGTTTTTCCAGGTTTGTCGGTACAGGGTCAGGTGTTTTGCGTCTCACAAATTCTTGACAGCTTTTCTTGAGGTTCCGGGTTTTTCCAAGTTTGTTGCTAGCTTATGAGACTTGGACTTCCTCTGCTTGTGTCGATCAAGTATTCGTGTAGAGTGTCTTAAGCGCTTTGTCTTACGCCTCAAGCGCTTCTATAGTCACCCGGGATCGCAGTATATAGATGTCTTGGCTCATATGCGTATGGCACTGCCGAGGAGAGGTATCTTGTGTCAACGAAAAATTTGTCTAGTGAGAAACTTTTGCCATGTGAGTCCTCTCTGTGAACGTATCTTTCACCGAGTGGAAGACGTTTGATTGTTTGTTACTCTGACATTGGTGTTGATGTTAGAACGTTTACATAATTTTGCATGTGTCTTTAGCGTCGAATGGTGTAACGGAGAAACTGGTGTAGCGTTTGAAGAAACTGTGTCTGGGCAGATCCCGAATGCCCGCTGATTTTGGTTCATTACTGATCAGTACACTGATCCGACGTTCGTTGCCATTTGCAGCTTGTAATTGGTGAAAGGCGTGGGGGTGGTTCATCTGGTCGTCTGTATAGAGGACAGTACTTGAGCCAAGATATAGCTATTAAAATTATCGAACTTAACGTGAAGAATGAGTCAGGGACACTTCGCTCTATTCCTGCTGTGGAACTACTGCAAATGTTCAAGCAAGAGGTTTCAATAATGAGGTCAGCAGTTTTCAATGTCCATGGACGGTTACATGGCCAGTCTCTTCTCACCACAATGTCTGAAGTTCAGTAGCTGTGTACCAAGGTTCTTTCTGTCGGTGTCTTAAATTTATCACATCTTACACCTGCTTAATGTTGAGGTCAGCATGTTTTCCAAATTTATTGGTCGTCTACTGGCCAGGCTTACCTCACCTCAATACCACAAAGCTCTGTTTATCTCCATTCTAAGTTTAGAACGTCTTATATTTGCTGAAAGCTCTACTTTATCATGTTCCATCTTGTTCCATCCATCCACTAAACACACCGTTTCTTTTTGCAGACTTGTACGTCACAAGAATCTAGTGCAATTAATCGGAGCGTGTTCATGTTGGCCTAAACTTTGTATTGTCACTGAGCTCATGGCTGGCGGGAGGTAACATCATGCACCTTCACCTGGAACATTATATACAACTGTCTGTAAACCACTGTGCTTGATGAGTGACAGGTTGAACGTGGTGGAAGGGTTTGCATCTCGGAAGTCATACACTTCTGCATCACGTTGACTTTAAATTTACCTCAAATATTTTGTTTAGTGCGAATTGTTCTTACGTGCTTGTGTGTTTGTGAGTAAGTTCTATCCTTGTAATAAGCATATGTACCAGGATCGCTGCGAGTATGAACGTTTTTCTTCTATTAGACAGTGCGTTGTTTTATTGATTATGTTTGACGAATGAAATTATTATGTACATGGTTCAAATAAACTTTTGCACTGTGAAAAAACCTTGATATAATAATTTTGATACATCTACATTCTCAATTTATATGTTCATAGATTCTTTTATTTAAGTATTCTAATTATTTTGTTTTCTGAAATTATGCAGGGTAAAGTGAAGAAAATAACTATCACAGGGAAAGAACAGAAATTTTTTGTCACATTTACAATGACAAAAAAACGTCCATCTGCTTACGTGAAAGGTAATGATGAAAAATTCGGGTTGAAAGTTGTAACTCGTGACACCAAATCGGCAAAAGTGATAGGAGTGCAATGTTGCTTTTGCATCACATTTGGTCGGGAAGAGAATGCAGATGCGAAACAAAAAGTTGCTTCTTCTGTGCAAGCATGGCAATCACCCTTTCGTTATGACAATATTGAACACCATCTTTGTGCCCAACATACTAAACAATGGAATGTGTATCAAACTTTAGAAACTTCTTTAGATCGCAAATCATTTTTTGATGAGGAGCCCATTGCATTTAAGAATTCTCTTAAAGCCCATTTCCCATCTTCTTTGGAAGATGAAGGAAATCTTGTATATAAAATCGAAAAAGATATTGTCGATACCGTTGTTGGCGATATGATGTTTAATCTTGAAGATGTAGAAGAAAATGATGGAGAAGATGATGAAGAAGATGTACACCTGTTTGGTAGTATGGGCAAAAATAATGCCCAACTAAGCCAACGACGAGAGGCAGTAGCCAAATCCAAAGCACGAGCATTATCATTGTTTCATCGCGTCGAATTAAAGAACGCTGATGGGGATTACGTTTACCTAGTGACGATCCCCAAGACGAAAATAATGTTGTTTCGCCTTGCTATGCGATACGTATCTTGTGGGACATCATTTCGTATGGCATCCGAACTTGTCGGTTGTACATATGATGTTCTGGGCAATCCTGCTTTACGTGCATGTACTCGTCACGAGATCAATAACTTTGTTCGGGTGATTTGCGCTGCCAATCTGCAAAAGATTGCGAAACTTCTTCGGCATTCGTGGACATTTTCATTAGCACTTGACTCAGTGACACATCAAATCACTTCATTTTTTGACATACGCTTCCGGATTTTCATTCGCGACTATCATTCGATTGTTAACTTGCATGGTTGTGCACTTCCAATGTTTGATCGCCACACATGTGAAGTTATGTTCACAATGGTGAGCAAGTTTTTGACAGTGCTTTGTCCTGATTGGACAAATTGTCTCCTTGGTTTGACGACGGATGGGGCTCGCAATATGACCAGACAGATTACTGGAGTTGTTACTCGCCTTGCCGAAGTGATGCACAAGGATTGTCCTTTAATTCGGATTTGGTGCGGAGCGCATCAACTAGATCTGGTTATGGAAGAGTTAATGAACAATGTCATCAAAGAACGATTTTTTGCAGTGATGATTGGATTCATTACTCACTTGACACGACAGCAAAATTTGATCGCGGAAATGCAAACTACATGCCCTCGTGTCGTCAATCGTTGGCTTTCGACGGAAAAAGTCATCACTTGGTTCAAAATCCATCGAACTCAGTTACTTGTTCATATCAACTCAAAGCAACCAGCTTCCGCTCCATCTCGACTTTGGTGGGTTGCACTTCTTTCTATGCATCATTTCACCACACAAGCAGCTATCACTTTTTGGACTATTCAAGGGTTAACGACTCTTGTACTTCAGCAGCAAAATGCTTTGGACAACCTTATGGCAACTTTTATTGCCAACGTTGGAGTAGTTGGACCGCTCAACACAGAATCAGTTGCGAATGTTGATCTATCGACTCATGTCATAGTCGGTCATTATGTGGTTGCTTTATCTAGTGTTCAAGAATTTCTCGTTGGTCTGGCTTCTTGGGTTGAACCCTTACTTAATGAAGCCACTGAAAGCGATCTAATCGATCTTCAACGAGACATTGCTCTTGTTATGTCACTGCCTGCCATCGGATCCGTGAAATTTGTGCTTATCGATATCGAAACAACAACGCAATGACTGATTTTGGTTCTATTTCTCCAGTGCTACCACATGAGCTCATCAAACTATCTGCAGCAGATTTTATCCGAAAGATTCGACAACATGCTTTTCGATTGAAGCATTCTTATTCATATGATCAGATCGATATCATAGATGATCAGCACAAAACTCTAATCCATGCTTATAGATGTGAGCCAGTGATTAAGAGCGTCATAGATTCGCTTTCCAGTAGTTCAAGTTTCAAGGACAGTTGGTCTTCATTTGGTACTCGATTTCCAAATTTGATGGAATATTGTGGTATAATTGCAAAGCTTTTTCCTGGAACTAGTATAGTAGAGTCTGATTTCTCAATTTTGCGTTGGGAAAAAGATTTGTTTCGGAAAAGATTATCAAACTTTGGATTAGAAGGGGTTATGCAGACAAAACAATTTTTGTTCATAGAACAGTTTGATCACTTACAGATGTTTAATAAAATTTTGAATTAAAGTTAGTCATGAAATCAAAATAATGTTTGTTTTGATTATGTTTTGTTCTATGAACAAATTTTGTTTATAAATATTTAATAGAAATTTTGTATCGAAAGAAATCGAATTTTTTTTATAGGATTAAGTTAGTCTGAATTAAATATTCGAGAAATGAAAATAGCCTAAATTAATTTTTTCAAGAGACTAAATTAGTCTAAATTAAATTTTTTAGAGCCCTAAATTAATCTAAATTAACATTTTGAAAAGACTAAATTAGTCTATATTAATTTTTTTAAGGAAACTAAATTAAGCGTATTTAGGTAATTTAGGCGGGTGACTATTATAACCATGCCTGGTTATAATCATAGATTGAACCCCAACATACCATATGTATACCATATCTATATGTTTATAAGTGTATACTACCAGATATAGTATAAACCTTTTGTTTTCTGAGATTTTGAATTTCAAACTTTTTCCAAGGAAATACAATTCTAATGTAATCAGTACTCCGGAATGAGAGTCCCACATATGGCTAAACATGTTGAAACGGCTGTTAAATGTGATATTATAAAACCCTCGGGCCATGTTATCAATAGATACTGTAAAACTGTACGATCTAAAAGTGTCCAACGAGTACTAACCCTCGGAGTACAAGACGTAAGAAAACTTGACGAAAAAAAAAATCTTCATGTCCT